GTAATGTGTAAGTGTTATTCAAACATATAAATTGAAAATAAACATTTTCCAAAATTGGATAATGCTAAATTAAAAAGTTAAGAGTTAAGTTAAAAAATTAAAAAGTTAATTAATTTTAACCTCATTTAATTACATTTTAGACTTAACTTTTTAATTTTACTTAGGCCCGATTGCACCAACGTAATTTGACTTTATAGCTGACTCGCGAGGTCGCTTTCGCGGACGCATACACGCACTCCCGAACCGCAGAAATGAAATACACGTGTATATAAAAAAGGAACAAGAAATGTTTATTAATAAAGGACACAGAGCACAGCGTACGATAAAATGTTAGAGCAGATGTAAAGACGTCCGAACGATGGTTTACATCCGAAACTGAAAATCTTGTTAGACAATCGAAGAGGAAGTCACTTCGGCAAAGCACGAACATTCCTCTTATTTTCACTTTTAAACCAAAAATTCATTTTTACATAAAAATAAACATAAGAACTACAATCTCCAAATGTGTCTGGCTTTGATCTTGACAAATGATATCCAGGATATGATCCTAAACAATAAGAGGTTTTAGTTGTCAGTTGGACATTTTGGTTAATGCCGGCAGAACTGAGGGGCTTCGTACAACAAAAGAAACAAAAAATAAGAATTTAAACTTATCAGAAAGATGTATTATGGAATGTGCAGTGTGTATGTTTTGTTCTCTGTTCTCTGTTCCTTTTATTGTGCGGAGCTCCTAACTTTTAAGCATCACAACTCGAAAAATACTTAATGGAAAAAATATTTTCTTACAGCGTTTCGGAAAGTTCTCGGCATCAGCTATTAGATTCTAGCAGGATATCCATTAAAAAAAATCGATGTAACTTTAACCTGACTTTAGGGATCACCTAAAGGCCCGTCTACAATACATGGAGTAAGAAGTAAGAGTAAGAAATTGACCAATCACAGAATGTGAGAAGAATAATCGACTGTGATTGGTCAATTTCTTACTCTTACTTCTTACTCCGTGTAGACGATGCCTAAAGTCAAACTGATAAGATTAGTAAATAGATCTTTTTGAACCCTACAATTTTTCTCAATAATGTCGTGTTTTTGAGATTTGTAATGCTTTATTTTGAACACTCCGTATATCTCATTTTATCGCGCGCGCGCGCGCGCGTGTGTATGTGTGTGTGCGTGCGTGTGTGGTGTGGTCCTTTCAACATTTTCTAATTTATATGCCCGAAACTGTATAAATAACGCTGTTGTTCTTAATGTTGCTATGAAAATCTACTACTTTAATACTCCGTTGTAAATCTTGCTTCGAAAAATCACAAAAAAAAGTAAATAACAAGAGATTTCCAAAATAAAAAATAGTAGAAAAAGGGAAAGTTAATTAATGTAGCGAGTGCACAGTTTACTTTGTATACTTTTTTTTAAAGAGGGAATATAATAGCGTTTTCGGCCCGGCCAGGTTTGCACCAACTTGGGTTGGATTAATGGCGTTTTGTGCTCTCCTATTGGTAGAGCGGGTGACGTCAACCAATAGGAAAAATTAATCCAACCCAGGTTGGTGCAAACCTGATCGGGCCGAAAACGCTATAAGTAAAATCTGTAAAATCTATTTTTATATATATAGATTCTCGGCTCTCCAATGTTTCCTTCATTGCCTTTCTGGCCGTCGATTCATTCGGATTGCATTCTCTTAGTATATGATGTTTACATAAAATAGATTTTTTTTTTAGTCGGGGTTTTGGTTTTGTATACGTACATGATACACTAGCGTGCTTGTTCTTATAGCGATATAGCGACGAGATCTACTTAAGTAGGAATCAGCAAATAAGCACTGTTCACGGGCACCCAACTGCCCACGGGCACCCAACTGCCCACGGACAATAATTGAACGTCTTGGGCAATAAGTGATAATAGTGATATGAGGAGAAATAATAAGAGGTGTCACACAGAAGATCCAGATCTCCAAAAAATATGCGGACGAGCTACAAAGAAAAGATATGCACTTGTGTTTTCAGTAACTCTTTTCCACCTATCTTTTAAAGATCTTCCGTTCAGTAAAAAAATTTATATATTAAATATATTCATATATACGTTTTTTGTCTCTTATATAATTTCTGTTTATATGCATAGTAAAAATAAAATAAGATAATTACAAAATAATTAGAAAAATTTAGATAACTCAGATTTAACATGAAATAATAAAAATGTAGATTTCGAATAAACGGTTTTTATCAGTAACAATAATAACACTTAACTCATATTTGATTGACGATTACGATCTGATATTATTTGCGATATATCAGGTGTTACGGTCCTGGCATAACTTAAATGATATAATACACGAAACTCAAAACTATAACGCTCATATGTTTGCGTTCACACAAAGCTATTTTTGTATGAAATATAAAATATGAAATACAAAATTTCATTTTAAAGTACAAAGAAAATAAAATACGCTCCTGAGTTGTAGATGAAGTTGACTGTAGACATACATTGTGCACATCAGCTAAACACTCGCGGTTTAGGTTAGGTTACTCTTCTAGGTGTGCTCTAGGTGTGCTCCTCTAGCGATAGTGACGAGATCAACGTAAGTACAGTTTTTGCATACAATGTGTATATATTTTGATTGATTTATAATCATTATCGTATTATTAAACACTATTGTTATTATTTACAAGTGTATGATTTGTTATGCTTTAAACTTCAAAATTTTGAATCTTATTCTACGATGTTCACTGTATACCGACGTGCCTGCTACCGTTATAGAAAATTTCAACCCGCTGGTCTTCTTTTCCATTATTTTATTTTTATGACATTAGCTGGATTCGGGGAGACACTATTAGCGCTATTTGTGTCATTCTATCTTCATCGTCCATTAAACATGAAACAAGGATAGTATGATGCAAATAACGTTGATAGCGCCCTGCCCGAACGCGACTTATAACACTTTTTTTTGAACGAATGATCAATAATTTGTTAAATATCATAAATTTCATATATTTATTTGACAATATTATGCTTTAAACTTTAAAATTTTCGATCTTATTCTAGAATGTTTTCAGTACATCAACATGTGTTGTGTGTGTGTGTGTGTGTGTGTGTGTGTGTGTGTGCGCGTGCGCGCGCGCGCGCGCGCGCGCTCACTCCTGTTATCAAATTTCTCCCCAAGAAATTTGGATCCGTTCCATAGAATTAAGAAAGGAAAGCGTGACAGAGACAAACAAATAGGCAGAAAGAGAGAAGGGAAGAGGAGAGGGGG